GTCAATTTGATTACTATGTGCCTTTGTGTGTTCCTCTTTGGACTGATTCTGTGTGGAACTCTCTGTGCTTACTAGATGTGGGTGACTATTTCCTTTCCCAAGTTAGGGAAGCTTCAGCTATTATCTCTTAGAATATTTTCTCAGGTCTTCTCTCTTCTCTTTCTTGGACCCCTATAATGTGACTATTAGTGTGCTTCATGTTGTCCCAGAGTTCTCTTGAACTATCCTCATTTCTTTTCATTCTTTTTTCTATTTCTGCAGTAGTGATCTCCACTAATCTGTCTTCTAGCTCTCTGATCCACTCCTCTGCCTCATTTAGTCTATCTTGGTTCCTTCTGGTGTATTATTCATTTCAGCAACTGTATTCTTCAACTCTGTTTGGGTATTCTTTATATTTTCCAAACTTCATTTTCCTCTGTGTATCTATACTCCTGCTGAGTTCTCTGAACATCTTCACCATCATTACTCTACACTTCCTCAGACAGATTGACTATTTTTTCCATCACTTATTTCTTCCTCTGGGATTTTATCTTATGCTTTGGCCTGGAAGATATTCCTCTGCCGTCTCATATTGCCTATCTTTCTATTTGTATTTTTAGGTAGGTTAGTTATGTTCCTCAACCTTGGAGAAGTGGCCCTCTGTGGGAGACGTCCTATGTGTCCCAGCAGTACACTCCTCTTGTCACCGAAGGGCCAGGGTCCAGTCAGTCCCAAGGTAGGGTCTGGCCTGCGTTTGAGGATTCCTTCCACAAACTTTAGGATTGTTATTTTTTCACTTCTGGTTATCTGTCCCCTGGTGGATGAGGCTGACCTAGAGGCTTATGTAGGTTTCCTGGCAGGAGGAGTTAGTGCCTGCCCACTGCTTGGTCCTAGCCCTTTGGTGGGTAGTGTCTAGAGGTGGCTGTAGACTCAGGAAGTCTGCTGATGGGTGGGGCTGCATCCCCACCCAGTATGTTGTTTGGCCTGAGGCTTCCCAAGACTTAAGCCTACAGGCTGTTGGGTGGGACAAGGCCTTGGTGCTAATGATCCAAGCAAGATGTCAGCGTCCAGGAAAGCTCACAGATGAACATTCCCTGAATGTCTGCCACCAGCTTTTATGTCCATAGTGTGAGCCACAGCCACCCTCTACCTTCCCAGGAGACCTTCCAAAACCAGCAGGCAGGTTTGGGCAGGTTCCTATGAAGTCACTGCCTCTGCTCTTGGACCTGGTGCACACAAAATTCTGTGTGCACTTCCCAAGAGAGTGAAGTCTCTGTCTCCCCTAGTCCTGAGGGGCTCCTGGAGTTAAGCCCCACTGGACTTCAAAACCAGATGTCCTGGGGTCTCCTCCTCCTCCCAATGCCAGAACTCTGGGCTGCGGAGCCTGACATGGGGCTCAGAGCTCTCACTCCTAGGGGAGGGTCTCTGTGACTTAATTATTCCTCAGCTTGCAGTTCACTCACCTGGGGGATGTGGGACCCAATTATATCTCAAGCACGCCCCTCCTACTGCTCTGCGGAGGTTCCCTCATTATGTTTCCAGTTGAAGAGGATCTTTTTTTGCCAGGTTCTAGTCTTTTTTTCCCTGATGGTTGCTTAGCAGTCAGTTGTGGTTTTGTTGTAGTCATGAGGAGAGGCAAGCTCGTGGTCCTACTACTTGCCATCTTGACTGGAGCCCAGCTGTTAGCTTTTTAATTTACTTCCACTGAACTGAAAATGTTAAATTTAGCAAAATACATAATTTTTAACTTGTTTTTATTTTTGATTCTTTTTTCAAAAGTTGAAGTATAATTGACCTACAATACCATGTTACTTTCAGGTGTACAACACGGTGATTCACTATTTCCATACATTATAAAATGACACATTAAGTCTAGTCACCATACAAATATACTACAATATTATTGACTATATTCCCCATGCTGTAAATCTCATCACTGTGACTCATTTAGTTTGTACCTCTTAATATCCCTCATGTATTTCATTCATCTCTCTCACTCTCCTCCTCTCTGGCTTTGAGAAATACAGACCTTGAGATCTATACCGGTCACTGGATTTTTAGTTTGACAAAAATATAAGTGGCTGTATCCATATCCTTAACACCACCACTACCTACGTATTTTCAGTACACTGTATTATATTTGTTAGATTTTTTTCCTTTGTGGTCCTTGTAATTTAGACTTCCATTTGGTCTCTTTTCTCAAAATCTAACAAATAAATTTTGCACCTACCAAACTGGTAAAAATTAAAGTATATGAATTCTCATACACTGCTGGTAGGAAGAATATAAATGAAACACTCTAGAAAACACTTTGGCAATGGGTAGAAAGTTGAAGATAAGCACACCTCAGGACCTAGTAATTCCCATCCTAGGTTTATATATTCTAGAGAAACTCTTGTACATGGGTTAAAAAAAGACATGTAAAGCTATCTCACGAAGCATTGTTTGTAAGAGAAACACTTGGCATAATCTAAAAGTCTATCAGCAGGGAAGTAGATAGACAAACTCTGGCAGTTAGATAACGGACTATTATACATCAGTTAAAATTGCTTACGGTTATATACACAAAATTATAAAAGTATGAATGGAAAGGATAATGGTTACCTCTGGGAAGGAAGGCAGTAGAGTAAAATTTGGAGAGTTCTTAAAGTATAATTTTAATTTCTTTAAAAAAAATCGAGGAGCAACTGTGGCAAAATGTTAAGATACATTCAGTATGAGTAGTAAATTTATAGGTGGCTATTATTTTATGAGCTTTTATAAAGTTGATGTAGATATATAAGCATTAAAAATTAAAATATTACCAACTTATTCACTAGTTCATGGGAGAAGAGCAATGGCAATGCATCCGCGATGGTGAGCACATTCCTATAATGAAAGCTGTTTTCAGTCTTTTAGAAAAGTATTCTCAGAGTCTATGAATAAATACAGGTAGCCAGCTTCATCTGTAAGTTGACTTTTGTTCCAAAGCTTTTCTAATTTCTCATTATTGCTAAGAAATAAATAGCAAAACATACACTTAAGAGTTTTAAATATTTTTTCTCCTATATATCTAAGTGGAATAATTTCATTTGTATTTCTCAGAAATCAAAGGACTATAGATAGTTGTGCATTCTGTAAGTTTTCAGACTTACATTTATTCTAAACATGTCTTGAAATAAGGAAAGCTTTACTGTACATTTATAACACTTGACTTACAAAGTGTTTTTTGTCAAAGTTGGGCTCTTCAAATATTTCATTAATAAGACTGTCAAGATCATCTTCTTTTTTAAATGCTTCTGTTGATCTGAAAAAACAAACAATAAATAAGATAACAGCTGAAGCTTAAGTGCAGGTAAAGTCAGCCAGTATCGGAAGAATTTTGATTAAGTAAAGTCCATTATTAGAGTTGCTAACAGAAGGACAAATGTGATGTGAATTTTTTCCTGCTATGGACATAGCCTAAGTTTGTTGAGAAAAAGATGTAGTTTATCAGGTACAAATTCACATATATTCTTTTACATATTTAAAATAAAACATTTGGCGGGGGAGGGTATAGCCCAAGTGGTAAAGCACATCCTCAGCATGCACGAGGTCTTGGTTTCAATCCCCAGTACCTCCTCTAAACAAACAAACAAACAAATAAATAAATAAATCTGATTACCTCCCCCCAAATATCAAAAAAAATTTTTTTAAATGAAACATTTAAAGCTATACGTTGTATTAAAGAGAAAGCTGGACATGTACTTCTCTAAATTACATCAACTACTTATTTAAAGAATACAAAATATGTACAATTATAAGTAGAACCTGACAATTATAAACAAAGATAATTTTAATATATCTAATTTTTCCCTTAAGAGTTTAACCGTTAAGTCAAATAATCATATCTCTCTGTTACAGGAGCCAAAGCTTATATAATCAAATGACCAATACACACACACACATACACAAAGTGATATCTGCTTGACAGAGTATCTCAACTATCTCTTTATCTTCTGCAGGTAAAGCCATCACACGATTACTGATACAAACTGTTACTGCATGGAACTTGTATTTAATGGCTAACGTTACTGAATACTTACTACACAGATGAATAAAAAGGGACTGAGAGGTTCAGAAACTTGCCCAGGGTCATACAAATAGTGGGAGGAGAGACTTGGAATTAAATCTAGGGCAGTCCATACACCTAACACTAAACAAGATTAAATCTTTTTAGAGTTTATATGTTACATATGCTGTCCATCAGCTTCATTAGATCATTAAATGATTTGTTTTAGAAGACAGGTTTTTCAATCTAACTCTATTTCTAGAAACAAATTTGCTCTGAAATCTTTTACATCAGGACTACAGCCCTTCAATACTGCTTAGAGTAAGATACTTAACCTGATGTAAGAAAATTCAGAGGCTGCTGCCTAATACTGAACGCCTGATTCCATCTATGTCCAGGTTTTACCTCTTCAGTTCTTCCCTAAGTTTTTTTCTCAACATCTTTTCACTCTATACTGGTTTCTTCCATTGACTTAGAAGTATGCTAAGTACGCTTTCCTCTTCAAAGAAATACCGCCCCACCCAAACACTCTTGAAGCTGCCACCCTCTCTCGCTCACTACTGAAGAATAGTCTATATCCATTATTTCTACTTCATTATAAGCGTACTGGATTTGGCGTCAGCTGGTGACCTGGATGAGCTTCTCAACTGTGGAACTACCAACATTTGCGGCCAGATAACTCTTTGGTGTGTGTGCCGCAGGGAGAGGGAGTGGGCTGTTCTGCACTGTAGGATGTTTTACAGCATCCTGGACTTCTACCCACTAGGTGCCAGTAGCACACCCTTCCCCAGTTGTGACAATCAAACGTATCAGGACATTGCCAAATGCCCCTTGAGTGCTAAAATCATCACCAGTTGAGAACTACTGACCTAGTTTAAATTATTTAACTTCTCTGAACCTCAGACATTT